AGATATATGATTTGCAAATATTTTCTCCCATTCTGTGTTGTCTTCTCGCTATCTTAATGGTGTACTTTGAAGCACAGAATTTTAAATTTTGATAATGTCCAATTTACCTATTTTTCCTTTTATTACTTGTGCTTTTGGTGTCATATCTAGGAAACTGATGCCTGATACACGTTTGTGATGATTTACACCTAGGCTTTTTTTTCTAAGAATTTTATAGTTTCAGCTCTTATATTTAGGTCTTTGACCCATTTTGAATTACCTTTTATATGTGGTGTGATGTAGGGGGTCCAACTCCACTCTTCTGCCTGTAGAGGCACCTTGTTTTAATGATTATTTTCTATAACCTGTTTTTTTCATGATCTGGGCAAGAAGGCCTCATTTTATCCCAGTTACTATGGACCAATAAAAGCGAGCTTGCCATCACACCATTGTGAACCCTACAGAAAATTACCCTTGAGCATGATCTCTCTCTCTCTCTCTCTCTCTCTCTCTCTCTCTCTCTCTCTCACTATAACCCCATAGAACGGGGACTTGCCCTCCTCACCGCTCCCACCCTTGGCTACATAAACTCCTAAAAGTCCTTACATAAGCAGTTCTTTCCTTTGGCTGAGTCATCAGCTGTTTTTAGTCCTTTTGCTAAAACACTAATATTTGTGTTGCAACTGAGTTTATCAGGTCTGTTCCAGGGACAGGTAGCCAATTCCTTACTAGCTGGGGTCAGGAGCTGGGGAAAGCAACCTATGCCAAGTGAACTGCTCAGGAAGGAGTCGGAGGAGGCAGGTAATCAGGTGCTAAGCAGGCAGTTCTTCTGAGAAGGCTGGCATCGCTGTCACCCTGCAGCTAAAATCCTCTGGAAGGCAAGGGCCGTGTCTTACTTGTCATTATGCCTCCATCCCCTAATACACGGGCCACCACAAGGCAGGAGCAGGGTAATATTCGGAGAGTGAGTGGAGTGGGAACGCCAGCAGAAGGGAGTGGAAATCTGGGGGCGGGAAGGACTGAGTGTGGGGAGAGCTCAGAGAGGGACATCAAAAGGGGCTTCAGGGCGGCTTCAGAGCACACGCTGCCCCCTCTCCCATGCTGGCTTGCTACACGCTCCCTGTGGCTGCCCCTGGAGAGGGCTGGTGGGGGACACTGGGGTGAAGCTGAATCAGTCCTTCCTCGCACCTTTGGGGAACACTCAGCCCCTGCTCCCAGCTGCTCAGAGAGCACACCCTCTGCCAAGTGGCCTCAAGCTCTGTGGAGGCAGGGACCTACTCTTTGTGCTGCAGAGAGCAGGATTGCAGAGCCTGCCTGATCCGGTCTGGCCCCAGCCCAAGGCTGGGCGCGACCGCACGGGCTCACCCCAGGATCAGGCAAAGGAAGGACACCAGCTGTTTGCCAGCCTGCTGGCACCAGAAGGGGCAAGGCAGCTCTGAACCGCCTGCTGGCAGTCAGATAAGGGCCCTGGCCACTAACCCAGTTGGCAAGTGAAGGGGAGAAGAAGTGGCATCTGCTGCTTCACGACTCAGGCACAAAGGGGCTGTTGGCGGCGTAGTCAGGCCTGCGGGTGGTGGGAGTGGGTTGAATTGTACCCTGCCCCCCAAAGAACACCATGTCCTAGTCTCAGCCCTGGACCTGTGAACATGACCTTATTTGGAAATAAAGTCTTTGCAGGTGTGATTAAGTTAAGGGCCTCGAGAGGAGATCACCCTGGGTTGGGGTAGGCCCTAAATCCAGCGACTGGCGTCCATAAGACAGAAGGGAGGGAGGCTTAAGAGACAGAAAGGGCTCAAACTAATCTCTGTTGTTTGAAGCTATTAAGCTTATGGTGTGGTAGTTTGTTACCACCGCAGCCCCAGGAAACTCATAGTTGTCCAAGCCCCGCCCCCTGCCTGCCACTCAAATTCTCCTGCAAGCACCGGGCATCCAACGGGGCCACATCCCAGGGGCCAGGTCCAGCTGAGCCTGTGAAACAGCTCCCTTGAGGAAACAGGCAGTTTAGGACACAGCCCGTGCCCACTGAGTACCGAAGTCCCCAATTTGGGGGTCCCAGGCCTCCAACAGGCAGTAGGTGGGATTTGGGGGGTGGGGAATAGAAAGGTTCAAAGACCAAACTAACGAGGCCCTGATGCTGAAACACACAATTCCAAGTTTAATGTTTTCAAAGAGCATCGGGACAGCACAAAGCAGCAGCGGGCGCCCTGCCCACTGGCACGCCCGTGGGAACAGATTTGAAATCTGACCAGCAGAAGTCCTTCAGAGGGAGGGATGTGTGGACCCCGGACCCCAGACCCTGTGGCCAGGCCCAGGGAGGGCGGAGGGACCCGTCAAGACCGAAGGTCTCCAGGTGGTGGGAAGGCAGCCTCCTGCAGGGTTTTAGGGGCCCACACAGGCAGGCGTGGGACCCCGGCGCTGGGCATTAATGCTGCCGGCCAAAGCCAGCCACAGGCCAGAGCACCAATTCCGGGCAGCAGCCCACTCCGGGAGTCCCACGCCCCACCTCAGAGAGGGGGCTCTCACCCCAGTGGTTGGAACAGGCCTTCGCTCCTGGTCTCAGGGACCGAATCCTGCAGGAGCTCTGAGACAGGCAGAGGGGGAGCCTTCCAGCCCCTTCGAGCTCTCCCCAGCCCCCGTGCTGTCTTAGGCTGCTGGGCGAAGAGGCCTGGGGGAGGACGCTAGGGGCTGAACCCTAAACCCTATGGGAAATAGGAATCTGAGATGGTGTGCCAGGAGGCTGTATAGAAAAGGTTATGTAATCATGAGAGCTGCTACAAGATCAAAGGTCCTGGAGTCTTCATGGGTGACCCGTCTGAGAGGCGGAACAGAAGCCAATGCCAGGGTGAGAGGCACGGAGGCCCTGCCTAAGGCTCAAGAGGGGAGCAGAGCCACACCAGGAGGGACGGCTCTGCCTTGGTGGTCTGAGCTTTGCTCCTCATAGAAATGTCTGCAGGTCTGGGGCCTCTGAGTTCCCAGTGGGCTGCTGCTCCCAGCACAGAGACCAAGGCCAAGGGCTTGGCTGTCCCTCTGGAGAGCTGACATTTGCTTGCCCAGCCCAACTCCCCTCAGTGTTGTGGCTCAGAAAGACCCCTGAACCCTCGAGCAAGGCCACAGGGATGTCCACAGGAGGTGGACATCAGACCCACTGTCCCACAAGAAGGTTCATATGTGGCCTGAAAGAATTAAGCCAGATATGGTTTCCTGAGTCCCCACACCTCACACCCCTTCCCCCGTCCCCTTTAGATCTCCTGTTAAAAGGCGTCTCCTGCAACCTCTAGAGGAAACCCGCCTCCCCGGGGAGCCAATGTGGCTGGTGGAAAGGTGACAATGACAACGCTTCATTTCCTCCCGGTGACTGTGGTCTTGTCACAGCCTTCAGCATTTGCTTAACTATTTCCAGTGACAGGAGCAAGGATGACTTCCTGTGGGACACGCCCTGCCGCATCACAGTGGACCGTGTGGGGGTCACGTAAGGATGTGTCCACAGAGGGGAGCTGGAGGGCCCAGCCATTCCTGCACACGCCCGCCCCAAAGATTTTGTCTCCGGAGACAAGGCCTGGGACCACACAGCTGCTTTTCCCTCCCATTCCTGTGAAGGGCCTCGTGTGTTGAATGCCAAAGCTGGGAAAGTGGGGGGACCGGGGACACTCAGATCGTGGGGAAGAGCTGGTGGAGTCAGCCTGGTACTGGACCTCAGGGGTCCGGCAACGGGGGCAGAGGAGAGGGGAGGCGGGGAGAACGGGAGGTGAGCCTCCGGTGGCGGTGGCGGTGGGCCAGGAGGCGGGCAGGCGGCTAGGGTTCGGCCGCGTGCTTGACCAGGTAGCCGCTGAAGGTAATGTAGGTGTCAAACTCATCGCTGAAGATGGCGTTCTCCCGCTCGCCCTTGTAGAGACGCACCCACACCTCGTCCTGGTCCTGCAGGTCCAGCATCAGGCTCTGAGTCTGCATGATGCTGCGGTCGCTCACCTGGGCATACAGGATCACCACCTCCTCCCCGTTCTTCATGATGTGCAGGTACGTCTCCTTCTGGTTCCAGGTGTGCACGTTGAGGCTGAAAAAGTAGATGCCAGGCACGTAGCAGTAGAACTTGCCCGTGAACATGTTGAAGTGGCCGTAGAGGTTCACGAACTCGGTGTCGAAGATGACCGTCTGGTAGTAGTCGTTGCTGTGCAGGGGCTTCTTCCGGCCCACCGAGAAGGCGGCATAGTGGTTCTTGCACCGGTCTCCGGGGGCCCCTATGGATCCTTTCTGCCCTTTGGGGCCCACGTGGCCCCGGGCGCCCACTGAGCCTGTTTTGCCGTATTTCCCTTGCAGACCTCTGTCTCCCCGGTCACCCTTCTCACCTAAAAGGGACAGGAAAACACGTGGCATCAAGCAAACAGACCCACCCTCAGGGATTGCTCTGTTTTCATCCAGAAGCAATAATTATTTTTTTCCTTCTGGAAAGTCCTGGCAAAGGAAAAGGAACATATGGGTTTGTCCAAAGGCAACAGGCACTACAGCCAGGCCAGGGCTCCGTCAGCACAAATGGACTGCAGATGTCGGCGGGGCCCAGGGACCCGGGACCGGGCGGCACGTCTTCCCAGTTTGATTTCCGGGGTTGTGCAAGGTCAGCTGCGGTGTACAGGACTGTGGCGTGTGGAAGGCATTTCAGAAAGCGGGCTGGGGGTGTGAGAGGAGCACCGAGCCTCCAAACAAACATCCCGGAGGCTTGTAGGGCGAAGGCAGGTGGGGGTGGCCCCGGCTGCCCGTAGATCCTTCTCCCATCTTGGACCTGCAGGCCCCTTTCCAGTCTCTCAGTTCGGAAAGGGGCCAAGAGCCTCAGAAATGGAATTTCCTCTTCCTCCCCCTCAGATGACAGCCTGCCTCTGCTTCCTCCCGTCCACCCTGTCAGGACAGAGCAGCCCCACCCCCAGGGGAAGGTCTCCTTCGCTCGCTGCTCGCTCACTGGTCTTTGCAGGGGCCTGACCTTTCAAGATGGTGATGTTGATCTGTGGCACCGGGATGGCCGGGTACACGGGGGCACCAGGGTCACAGCAGCGATAGCACCGGGAGGCAGGGGGGTCCTCGCTCTGCCTGGGGCTGTATTTTTCATGCTTTTCTTCAACCCTAAGGGAATAAAGACATCACAGGGAGAGCTGTGAGCTCTCGGAGCTGGGAACGCCTCTCTCTCTCACTGCAGAGCGCCTGGCATACCTGACATGCTGCCTCTCTTGCGTGGACGTGCTAACTTTCCCTCAACAGAGACCACATTGGCTCTCGGTGAATTCTGGGACCCTGAATGAAACTTCAGAAAGAGCCCCATGCTCTTCCTTGTAAAGGAAACAAAAAGAACAAAACCAGCAATAATCCGAGGGCTTTGCAAGACAGAGGCTGCTTGGGAGAAACCTGCCCCTGTAGGAGGCCTTTAGACACCATGTGGCGATGCTGTGACTGGCTGTCCCCTTCATGCATCTATAATTCTAGAAGATTCTCTATCAAATTGACTCACTGTAACTGAGGGGGCTCAACTAGATCTTTGGGGTTCCTTTGAGCTGCAGTTCCTTTGAGACTCGGATAGTTTACAACCTGACATTTAAAGACCGGCTCCTGGGCGGGGTGAACAGCGACAGCTCCATGCTGCCACCTCGTGGCGTCACGCTGCACTGCACCGTATTCTCTGGCTTGCAGCTCTGCACCCAGGCTTCTAGGGCTGTGACAGGACCATCTCAGAGGTGGCACAGTCCCTTTCAATGGGCCAGCTCCTTATCTAACTCTGCTCCCACTTTTGAACCCCAGACAACCCAGGAAATGGCTCTGTATGCCCTAAATCCAGCCACCCACAAGCCCTGGACTCCCAGATGGGTCCCCGCCCCCAACTCTTGAGATTCAGCAAACCCCACAATGTGACGTGTCTAGAACTGACGGTCTGTCACTGTCGTTTCGCCCCTAGAATCTTCTCTTTCCAAACCCTCTTCCTAACATCATCAGTCACCCAGAATGGAACCCTCAGCCTCATTCTAGATGCTTCTCCGGCCTCACCGCCACCTTCTGAGGACCACGGAGGCCTGAGGGGCCAGCTCACCCCCCCAGAGCGCCTTCCGAACCTGGGCCCGAGGCCACCGCCATCTCCAGTGGCCTTTGTGACCGCTTTCCTGGAGCTCGCCCGTCCCCGTGCCAGCTCGCCCTTGTTCTCTGACTCCCTCCAGTGTTCTTTCTCGAGCTCCGTGAATTTTAAACCTCGGCAGGACTCCCCGTCGGGTGACGTTCAGGACAGACCCCTCCTCATCAGACTCAGCTCCCCTCCCACCTTCCACCCTCCAGCACCAGCTCCCCGTACCTGAACCCAGCAGCCGTCACGCTGCCAGGTACTGGAGCGGCCACACCTTCGGCAGGGTGGCCTTCCCCTCCTCCCAGGAGCCTCACAGGTACCCTTCAAGACCCAGTCACTCCCCTGCTTAGTCTCCTCAGCATCGTGGGCCCCCCATCACTGCACTGGGTCATGCGTGTCTGCCCCCCACAGCCTCGGCGTTCCTGGAAGCCAAGGACTGGCCGAGCTGGAGCTCCCGCACCCACATCACCACAGCCTCACCTCTCAGCGTGCTCCAGCAGCGGCTCCTGGGTCCCCTCCTGCTGCTCCTGCGGGCCACGTGACACTCGGCCCAGCACCGGGCCACAGGTGAAGGCCAGCAGCAGGCAGCACGCCAGCATGAGTCCCCGTCCATGGGAGCCCATCTTCCTCTGTGCCCTGCTGGAGACACGCATGGGGACGGGGGAAGACGGGGGTCGGCAGGGGCTCCGCAGACAAACAGCCAGGAAGCAAGGTGTCCGCCAGCCCCACAAAACCAGGGAGTGCCTCAGCCACAGCTCCTGGGAGGACAACCCCACGACGCCCTCTCATGCACACACTCATGCACGTACACTCACACACGCATGTGCACATGCTCTCACACTCACACTCAGAAAAGCCACACGCAAATACTCGCATACTTGCACACTGCACATACCCATACAGTCTCATCAAACCTCAGTGCATGCTCACGCATACACACTCACAGGCACACTCGCACACTCATACGCACATGTAGTCCCATACACACAATCCATGTGTACATACACACAATCCATGCGTACACGCACGCACTCACGTTCTCACATGCTCACGTGTGCGCACAGCCCGCCCTGGAGGCCCAGCTCCCTGATGCTGCTGTGTACAGTGCTGCCGAGCCCACCAAGCCTCCTGGGAGGGACCCCTCAGCCACCGGGCTCCTCAGACGATCGTTTATTGGCCTTATCAGGACAACGAGCAAAGCCCCGAATGAGTTTGGGTGGTCACTGTTCAGTGACTCTGCCGCAGCCTGAACTGTGTGGCAGGTGGGTAGGCAGGTGGTGACCCATTGCCCTATGGCCACCAGGGGGCACACCAGTAAACGTCCTGGAACATCTAATTAAGAGACAGTGTCAGGCCCAGACCTAGGGGTTGGGGGGGTCATAGTGCCTCTCACTCACCGTGACCCTCCTTGTCCAGGGTTGAGACAGTCCTAGGAGAAGATGCCCACTGGGGCCCCCAGTGAGCCCATTAGTGAGCTTGTGCTTAAGTAGGCAAAACACCCCGCTCGTTTTCACAGCTAGGGGTATCCCCCCAGCTAACTCTGGTCAACCCTCACCCATCTTTGTCCACAATTTAACACCTCAAAGGACCTTTGGGGACCTAATTTGACCCCCTTGGCCACCCAATGAGAAAACTGAGGCCCTGTGTGAATAAGCGCCACCACCCCTCGCAGCCACGTTGGGGGTGGGATCAGGTGGTTGTTGAGAGGCAAACAGTACAAGCAGGGAGCTCCCTCCAAAGTCCTGTCTGATCTTTTCTTAATTCCTCTTTTATGTTTAAGGAAACTAAAAGACTGAGGCGGATTTCTTTTCTTGTCAGTAATCATCTGCCCACATGAATGCCCCTTTCACATGTCTGGGAAGCTGCGGACTTCCTTCAAACACCCCTTGCTCAGAGGCCTTGTAGCTGGGAGGGCGTGACCCTCTCCACTGGGCCGACTTCTGCGCTTTGTTCTTTCCTCTGCGTGTTAATGGGCTCGCTGTTACAGCTCTGAACAGAGAGTGCTCTGCTAGCCCTCCCTGCTGAGCCCCGTGCCAAGTCAAGAGGACATGGGGGAGGCAGAGTGCCGGGAACCAGAGCCGGGGACAGAAAAGGCAGGATCGAGGCTCTCGGATGGGCCCTCAGAGATGTGACGAGGCTCAGAGCCAGAAAGACTGCCTCTCGGGAAAGCCCTCCTTCCCTGTCACCCCCACCTCAGAGGGGTCTTCAGTTCTCTGCCTGACCTCCCAGTCCCTCCACTGCAGTGGGTTAGCTGGGCTCCCCACCTCCGAGTTCTCTACCAACCAAGCATCAGGGCCAGAGACCTTCCCAAGGACAGAAACTGCTTGGACAAGCCCCCCACTCAAAATCTTTCCTACCTCCCTCCACTTGCCAAAAAAGGGTGAATACGTATATGTTAATTTATAGAATACATGTTGAAATTCATCTGTCTCTATCTATACCTAGCTGTGATCATTTCTCCACTCCTTAGCAGGGAGGACAGGGCCCTCCCTGTGTTCACTCTTCAGCTGCACTGCATGGCACCCCTTGTCCTGTGTTCGAGTTCCCTGCTTCTCACATTTTAATGTGCACACACATCACCTGGGAAATCGGGAAATCTTGTGAAAACGCAGACCCTGCTTCAGTAGGTCTAGGACAAGGTCTGGAGCCTCTGCGTTTTCAAAAAGCCCCCTTGGTGCTGCCAGCGGCTGGTCTGAGACTCCTGGCATCTGTCCAGGTGCGGGCTGCCTTCTCCCCTGGCCAGAAGTATCATTTCCCCTTCTCTCTCTCACTAACAACCAGGCTAACGGGACAGGCGATGGCACGCAGCAGGCCCCGCGCTGGATGTCCCCACATCATGTCAGGTCATCGTCACGGCTCCATGGGTTAGGGTTCAGTCAGGATGCTTCCTCATTCGTAATTTCTACCCCATCACAGACCTCGGATGAACCCGCCATGCCTCTTTTAAGAAGACACTATTCATTTATTATTACACCAAATTTACAAATGAAGAAACAGAGACTTAGCGAGGTGGATTGGCCTAAGGCTGCCCAGTTTTTAAGGGGTGGGTGGGTGGATGTGAACTCAACAGGCTGCCCTCGGAGCACAGCAAAATCTGGTCTGGTCTTCAAGGCCCGACTCCAGTGCCTCCTATCTCTCCAATGGCTTCCCAGACCCTCGACTGGCAAAAACTCTCCCTTCTCTTTTCCATGTTTGTCCTTAATGTTATCTCATTCTGCAGAGTTTTGCTTGGCCTGTGAGATCCTGCATGCACACCGTGACCTCCGCTGGGCCTGGGACATGCCTTGTGCATCTTGGACCAGCCAAGCACCCTGCAGCACCCAAACTTGACTGCTAGTCAACAAGTATTTGTCAAATTGAATTCTCAAAATTTGTTTATTTCCCTATTTCTGTATTTCCTGTTTTTCCTTGGCGCCTTCATAATTACTCTTTTTTTTTTCTTTTAAATACCAAGCTTGCATCACTTGAAAGGGAAAGAGGTTTTCCTGCCTTTAAACTTTTTTTTTTTTCTTCTGAAGCCAAAGTAATATATATTCGTTTCGGGAAAGTCAGACAATAACAAAAGGAAGTGACAGGCTACCTTGGATTTCTTTATCTGCAGGGTTTTCATCCTTGGCTCCACTGACATTGGGGCTGGATCGGTCTTTGTTGTGGGCTTGTAGGATGTTGACCAGCGTTCCTGGCCTCCACCCACCAGATTCTATTAGCACACCCCAGCCCCCAGTTGTGACATCTGAAAATGTCTCCAGAGTTTGCCGCATGCCCCTGGGAGGCAAAAATCCCCTCAGTTGGGAACCAGTGCTGCACCCCATTTTGCATGTTGGCATACCTCTTTCAAGTATGGAAAGGGGATTTTCTGTACCTTGATCAGAGGAGATGGGGACCAGGATGCAACTGGCTCGGGGGTGATGGCATCAGTGGGGTGAGAGCACGTCACAGCCCAGCAAAGAGTCAAAGATGCCCTGCTGACAGTGGGGCGGCAGAGGCTGCTGGTTCTCCTCAAGAACCTCCTCTTCGGAGCTGAAGCAAACCCAGGGTGAAATCTTTCCTTCGTCAAAAAAATATCTTCAGAACCATTTCATCAAGTTTCACAGCAAAGTCAGCATCATGACATTATGATCTTTTTAGTCATTTTTGGGCAGAAACAGAATTGCCCAACTTCCAACCAAATTTGGCTCCAGACCACTTTTAGCGATTTTCAGTGAAACATGTCCCCTACAGAGGGAGAGGTTTTTGCCCTGACTGAGGTAACTCGAAGAAGGCCCTGCGCTCAGCAGATCTGGCCCAGGAAACGGCCCCCATGAACCTGGCCCCACACGGTCCAGTCTCCTGGCCGTTTTGCGGTCAAGGCATCTGAGGTCAGTTCTAACATGACTCAAGTCCTGGACGTGCCTCCCTTAAACCCTGTGGAGAAATTCATTTGCCAGATCCCACGGCACTTCCACGAACACCTTTCCTTCTCCCATCTTGCCTGTCAGACCTGCAGCCCCTCAGCCCCTCTCTCTTCAAGCCCCCCACATCTGCTTCCAGCTTAAACACCCCCCCC